GGGCCGTGCTGGTGCAGCCCGTAACCGCTGGGGGAAGCTGCAGCCCTTTGCATTTCGCAGCGCGGTTGGGTAATGAGGTTTTTAGGAACTGGTGAGGCCCCAGCAGCTCTGCACCCCGGGGAGCCCGGGGCCGGGAGCTGGGGTGACACCGCTATGGCAGCGGGGGGCAAAGGGCGGCCACGGAGCCACCGCTGTCTGCAGAGTCGGTCCCCTCCGCCGGACAGCCTGGTGCCCCCACTGCGATCCCAGGGCGAATGTCCCAGGTGAGCGCGGGCTTCACGTTAGGGCTCGGGGTGCCCTGGTTTGGGTGCTGGGCTCAGCCGGGTGCTCCAGCCCATGAGCTCAGGGCCACCAGTGCCACCAGCCCCGCATGAGCCCAGACATCTCCCCAGCACCAGGACTCGGGGTGTCGCAGCCCCAAAAATGTGGACACCCCAGTACCCCACGGCCACCCTTGTCCTTGTCCCCAGGGTGTCCCTGTCGCACCCCCAGCCTGGCACTCCCCCTCCTCCTCCAGACACCCCATGCCCCTTCAGCACACCCTGTTCCATGAGCTGAGCTGCGCCGGTCTCAGCCTTTGGCAGCCGTGCTGCTTCAATTAAGCCCTCATTAATTTTTCAGTCCCCCTGCGCACCCTGAGCGCAGGCGGTTTGCAGTGGTGCTAATTGATGTCTTCTCTACTTAAGCATGTAAGAACCGGCAGCAGTCTCCCCCTCGCTCTTGGGGAGGCTCATGGAGAGGCTTTGGGGCCAGACAGAACCATGCGCCCGGTGGAGGCTGCTGGAGTGACCCAAAAAGCCGTGGGGCTGAATCACCCCACCCCGGGTGGGGATCCACCCGTGGACATGGACACAGCGCAGATATGTCACATCTGGCTGGAGCGGGGGGGTCCCAGCCCTCCTGCCCCCGGGGCGGTTGGGTGATGGATCCCCGCAGCCCTGATGCAAATACACAGCTGCAAATATTTGTCTTTTTTTTTTTTTTTCCTTTTTTTTTTTTGCAAACCTGCCCTCTCTCGTCTCCAGTTGGGGCAGATTCTACAGCTTCATGCGCCACCCCCTGCAGCAAGGGTGGGTGCACCCGAGAGCAGGGCTGGGCTGGGGGATGCTGAGCCATTGGGAAGGGCAGAGCACCCCATGGCACCCCACAGCCCCGCTGGGGACTGAGATGGGGACCAGCCCTGGCTGGCTGGAGACTTCATCCAGGCTCAGAGGCCACCAGCTGCAGAGGGGCTGCTGCAGACGGGCCCAGGTGGCACTGGGATGACAGCGGGATGGCCAAGGTCACCAGGAAGAACCGCCAGCAATCGCCATGGAAACGCTCCATTCAGTTCTGGAAAGCAGAGCAGTTTTCTCAGCCCTTTCTCCTTTACACTTCAGCTGTGGCTCTGCCCAGCAAGGAGGACCCAATGTCCCAGTGTCACCTCAGCACAGGCAGTGTGGGGCCCTTCGCTGGGTGCCTGGGAGGGGGATGCAGACAGCATAGCCCCTGCCAGCCCTGAAGCACACCAAGGGAAGGGGATTTTGGGGTGCTTTGGGATCAGCCACCACCAGGGACAGGAGCCAAAAGTGGGTGAGTGGGACGGAGTGAGGAGGAGGAGGAAGCAGGAGCAGAGAGTGGCAGGAGGGGCAGAGAGCAGCAGGCAGCTGTGCTCCAGGCTGGGGACCAGGCAGGCAGGGCCAGCAGCATCCCTGATGCTGAACCCAGCACCCCCTGCCTCCCCCTCCCTGCCTACACCCCGCGCCCCAC